GAAAACGTTAAAGTTTACATTCATTTTAAAGCGTAGCCATTCAGCTTTCTAACAGTGGGTTGTTTCTTAAATTTGACTCATTGGTTCGCGGGTAATAATACTTTACGTTATTGCGATTGGAGATTAAAAAAAATTGAGATGGAATAACAAATCGTTCTCATGAAAATAACTGATTTTTTCATTAAAACAAACAAATGTTGCATTTTATTAAATGGATTGTAACAATAAGTATAATTACGGCTTTTCTTCCACTATTTTTAACTCAGTTTGAAACTTCGAATGCGATATAATTTTGGCTTGGACCATCTAAGGTGACTGACATCAACTTGCTATAATTTCTGTTTACATTACATCGCAATTCGATGACACTCTGGCTCAGACACCAGAATGTTTTGATGATTTTTAGCATTCGTTTAGGATTTTCAAACAACCTGGTCTCTTTTAAAATACTTTTAATTTGTTCTTACGTGGTTTTCCAGATGTAGTGACGACAACATTAAAGTTTTAAGAAGAAAATTCTAACATTTAAACCGACTAAACAATAACATAGTAAACTTGCATAATTAAACAGCAACTAAAAATGATAGGTTTACTAAATCTTTTCCTGTGCAATTATTACTAGCATTGGAGACAAGGATAATAGTTTGTTTGAAAGAGAAAAGAACAGGCTTTGAAGTAAGCCTAAAAGCGTTTAACTAGAAATAGTATTTCGAAAGTTATTAAGCACAAAAGATGAATTGCGTTTATTTTGATACACCCTGTAGAAGGCAATTTTGTGACATTTGTTATGTGCGTACTAAATTATTAGGCTATGTTTACATTGTATCGGATCACTTTGCGTCCGACGCAAAAACCATACCGGACAGGGCTTCTGTTTACATATGAACTGTTGTTATCGCCTCAATTTCTGCAACGAACCGGTGGTGCGGCGGTTCGCTCTTCGAAGTGGTGCGCGATGTATCGGATTGGTTTTTGCAACGCTATCATTGCAATGTAAACACCAATCCGAGCAATTTTGGTTCAATGCGTGACTCAAGATGGAATCTGGCAAACAACAACTTACTATTCTAATAATATATAGAAGAAAATACGACAGCATAGATGGGCGGGGCGGAAGCTGTTTACACTTGGGCCGTAACTTTTCGCGAACGAAACAAAAACTGATCCGATACAATGTAAACATAGCCTTAATTCAACATGTTTGCCAAAAAGATACATTTACCAAGGATATATACTAATAAATCTCAAAAACGTAAAGTACAAATATCAATGAGCTTTGGCAGTGAGATCACAACAGGAAAAGCATTTTCTGTATCAGTGGTCCTTTGTGGATATAGCATTAAAAATACGCCGCTGAAATAAACTATTCGTTATGCATGTGTATAGTAAATAGGAAGCTTTGAGTGCAATTTGGATTAAACATGCACGAGTTAGTTTTTCAATGAGCATCAAAATAGCTAGACTTGCCACAAGTCGACCATGGGGGAGGGAGGGCGCGGGGGAGGGGCGCGCGACCCGAGCGACGAAGTCGCGAGTGGTCGACTTGTGTCCCTTGCAGGAATTTAAATCGCATTAAAAATTTTGGCGCTAATAATTTTGACATATTAAAAGGTGTGTACATTTCATACAATTACTTCACCGCGCCGACAATGGGTCTACAAAAACAAAAACATTCTCTAGACTAGAATTGATATTTCTTGGTCGTCGAATGAAACAGTTCGCACCAAGTGTGGAAACGAAATGACTGACCCAAGTTAAGTAAGCGCCGAAAGCTGTTCAATGTATCAACAAAAACAAGTGCATGTAAAAACTGTAAAAACTTATTGAAGCTTCACAGTTGTTTGTCTATTTAAGCAATGTGTGCCGTAATTATGTCGACAAGAATAATCTGACTCAGTTCGCCAGCGATTTTATTACCGTAGCTAGTAGAAGTTAATCTATAAATTGAAAAGAATCAGACAACTGTATTAAACCAAGAAGCAGAGAGGCGGCGATTGTGATCAACTAGAAGACGTCGCTGCTCGCTAGAATTCAAATTCCAGTAAAAATACGCGTTGTTTTCTCAGCAAGTGATTTGTAATAATCAGTAATCGAGATCAAGAAACCCAAACTAAACCCGAAACTAGTGTGGAAATTTTAGAATCATCAGATGCATCTTCGGTGGCAGTATTAAAGTTTATTTCTACACCCTGTACTTTATACTCAATCTAATGTCTGTTTTGTGTATTTTTACAGGGTTTTTGTGTTCTACAAAATTGTAATTACATTGTTTACTCTGTTTGCTTCAATAATACACATTTTGTTCAACAAAGAGCCTCAGAATATAATATTATTGTTAGACTCCTTCGATAATGACCTCTGGATAATGACCGATGTAACCGCTTCGGCCTTCAATGTAAACAATGACGTCACCGGTGGATTTTTCCACCGGTGATATTTGGCGCGCTGCAAGTGACAAAAGTCCTTTCCACAGAGGAAGTGAAGCGCGCCATAGAAGGGCCTGGAAAGGACTTTGGAAAGTCTACAAAATAGCAAGAGCACGAAGGACGAGTGATGACAACATTCGTATGCTTCACAATTTGATCAACTGAGGAAATGAATGATACTTTCTGGGAATATTATAAACAATGGATTGTTCACCAAGATTTTTGTAGTTCTCGTTTCCCGCAAAAAAATGTAAAGCTCTTTGGGTGGGGCTTGACAAAAATATAAATACAAAGAACAGCCCATATTGTAACGTGTATAGATCATTGGATAGGAAAGATTGTACTATTAATTTAAAGAAGAACACTGAACACAACACTTTACTGTTAAAATAACGTTTTGTGTATGTCGCCCAGTTATGAATGAGGAAATTTAATTTTATTTCGCACTTTTGCAGATATTGATGAATGCCGGATTTCCTGTGCATGTTCTGGAGGTCAGGAATGTGTAAACTGGCCAGGTTCATATCAGTGTCAAGGACTGCCAGGTAGAATGCTATACAAATAAAAATTACGAGACACAAAATATGAAAAACAGTGGCGGCGCAAGAGGGGGGTTGAGAGCAGGGCGCTTATATAATATATAATCGCCCTGGTTGGGACGGGTGGGGATGGCGGAGTGGAACACCACACATTATTTTACACCATTAGGTCACATTTGAGTGGAATTGATTTAAAACTGATAATTATGGCTACATTTTGGGGAAATGTGGGAAAGTGTTAAGGAAACTGAAAGAAAAACGGTACGTGAACAAAAAATATAAGGAAAAATATTATGTCGTGAAGATTTTAAAGTAGGGCTAGTCCCTGACGAAAAGTCGTAAAAAGCAAGTCTTGCGTTGGCCATTGTGCAGATAAAATGAGAACCTTTTCTGAGCTCCAGCGCCTGGCACATTTGTGTGAATTTTGACATTTACCTATAGATGTTGTATAAATTTTAACATCGACAATCGTACTGGGGCATGACTGAGTACAGAAAATAACCGTAAGCAATTTCATTCTGTTTACATATGGTGCATTACGTAAATTTAATGCCTCGTTGCAGAACTCGCAAAAATTGGATTTGAGCACTCCTTGTATCCGGTTACTGAGGATAGCAGTTCTGTAGAAATTTGCTTAGACGTTAAAAATTCTCAAGAACCCATTAGTGGATGGTAAGTACATATATTTTTTTCTTTTGTAAATTCATGTTCTTCATTTACTTACATGAGAACTACTCTGAAGTTTTCCTTTGTATTTCTTCATAACAGTCTTTCAGTGAAGGTATGGCGACGATAACTATAGACAGCTGCGGTCTGCTGATTGAGAAAGATAAAACTACCTAACTAGAAATACATGCATGCAGTAACCCCTCGCCAATATTTTCCAAACGTTAAATTAACATGAAGTATTCAGAAATGGCCGACACTGAACGCAGGCTCGCGTTCAATTCTTCTCATTTCTTCAAACAAAATTGCTTCAAGCTTGTTGTATATGAAACGATTTTCCAAATATATGTCTTTTAACATTGAAATCTTGCTTATCCCACTCCCACAAGCAATCAGCCATATTTTTTAGATCAGTGAGGATGACCACCCACTCAAGTTCGTTGGTCACGCCCGCGATATTTGATGAATTTTAGACTTCGCTAATGCTTTCGTTTCCCCGGGTGTAAATAGCCGGGGGGAATTAGTATACCCTCGCACGGCGCTTCGCGCCGTCGGCTCGGGGGAAAGCAGAACATCGACGTTTCGAGCGCAGGCTCTTCGTTGGGATCGGAAGTTAGTAGTTTCGAGCGCAGGCTCTTCGTTGGGATCGGAAGTTAGTAGTTTCGAGCGCAGGCTCTTCGTTGGGATCGGAAGTTAGTAGTGCGGGGCGGGAAAATTACATGAGTTTTTACACTAGTGATTATACAGTGATCATGTGACAAAAAATAAACCAATTGGATGGATTTAATCAAGACAAAGTGACTACTAATTTCCCGACGATGGGTTTCGCTCGGAACGTGGAAGTGTTCTTCTTTATATTTTAAGTAATAATTATATCTCTCTCAATTCGCACCTTTTCATAGATATAGCATTATTTATATGTCTGTAACACAACATTCACCTCACATTTCTGGACAATATCAACGCAAATTGTTGCAAATCTCTTATTAGACATATTATTAACTAATTAGTAAGCAAGTTAAAATTCTAGTATTGGTAATCTCAGACTTAAGTGAAATATTTCGATGGCCAACTTTACACGTTCTATTTTTACTCAACGTCTTAAGGATAACCACTAATGGTGGAGCCGCAGTGACAGGAGCCGATTACCTCAGTATTCGTGAAGTAGTTAACATAACGGATCCTCAAGAATCTACTTGCTATACAATACCAATACTTGATGATGACGAGTTTGAAGGAAACGAAACCTTTAGCGTTGTTTTAACGCTAAATGCGAATGTCTCCGGTGTTCAAGAATCTTACGATGAGGCTACGGTGATTATTGTCGATGATGATGGTAAATATTTCATTATAATAATATTTTGTTACATCAAGTTTGCCTCTTATGATCTAATGACGTTTTAGGTTTGTATAGATGACAGAATATAACTACAACTTATTTCAGCATCACAATTTCAATCCGGCTATATAGCCATATTTATACGCTTTCCGAATTTGCCGGCTGCCAATGAACACCTGCGGCTCACTGATCTATCTATACTCACTCGGATATTGATCGTTTCAAAATCGTTTTGGACAACTTGAATTATTTTTGAGTTTAAAGCTTGTACAATCTTTAGTTCTGTTCATAATACTGGACGAGAGGAAAACTATTGATTTAACATATTAAAGGAAAGGCAATTGGCCAATGCAGAAATGTTTTACTTATGCTGTGGCACAACCCGCAGTATTTTACTTGTACCTGTAAGACTACAATTACTTTATGGTTTCCGTGTTTGGATGACCAGATCCAAATACGCGGGAATGTTGCGTGAGTTAAGAAGAGCGCGCGATCGAGCAACATTCCCAAGTGTTTGGATCAGGCCATCCAATGTCCCTGGCTTGGGAGGTGCGGCTCGATCAAATCAAAATCTTTAAAAGCAGTTGATTTTCAAAATATTTCAACATCGTTGCAGATCCCACAAGAATTGGATTTGAGTACTCCTTGTATTCTGTTGCTGAGGATAGTGGTTCTGTACAAATTTGCTTAGACATTAACTCCGTTACAAATTTTCATGGATTGTAAGTAGATAATCTTTTTTCTTTTTGTAAATTCATGAATGTTTTTCATTTACCTGAGCCACCATGTTTATTAATAACAGTTTGTGCCAGTGTAGGATAGCAACGATAAGTACTAGCTATCTCTTTTTATCCCAAACTGTCATATTTTCTAATTTACGATAATTTGACTGTCTGTAACACAACATTAATTCAAAACACTTTTGTAGCCAATATTCAACTCGAATAGTGTATTTATGCAAATCACCGTAATATTAGACATATTAATTTCTAACAAGCAAATTTAAGTTCATCTTGAGTAACATATCTCGATGGCCACCTTGACACGTTTTTTTTTTACTCAACGTCTTATCATAAGAATAACCACTAATGATGGAACGGCAGTGACAGGAGCCGATTACCTCAGCATACTCGAAATAGTTAACACATCGGTGTCTCAAGAATCTACTTGCTATACGATACAAATACTAGATGATGACGAGATTGAAGGAAACGAAACTTTTAACGTTGTTTTAACGCTGAATGCAAATGTCTCCAGTGTTCCAATAATTCAAGACAAAGCTACAGTGATTATTGTCGATAACGATGGTAAATATTTAATTTATAATAGCTAATAATATTGTATTTCAGCATGAATTGTCTCGCATGAACCACTGACGTTATAGCAGCATTCTATGATGAACATTGAGAAATTGAAAGTGAACCCTTTACCATGTAATGGTTTCTCAAATTATACAACCCTAAAGAAATTTTACACCATTTTTGCTTTAAAAGAGCAATCCTTTTTGTCTACATGAAATATTTTGCACATCTTTAATCACCAATCATAATGAACTATCATTGACTATCGATAAAATATAACTAAACATGCAGCCTTTTGCATAAACTGCATGCATTTTATGAAAATTAATCTGTTTATTTTTTTCCAGACGTCGATGAATGTGAGCTTGAAATTCATAACTGTGACGTTAATGCTGAATGTATTAACATAATTGGTTCATATGAATGTGCTTGCAATGAGGGATATTCTGGAGATGGTATCAACTGCACAAGTAGGTGGCCTATAGATACTCTAAATATACTGGTAAACGTTATGCACCATATATAGTTTCTAAGTGAAAAATAGAACGAGTAATTTCTTTCAAACGAGAAAGGTAGTAAATAGTAAACACCAAACGTGATTGGCTGATTTGTGGTCACGTGACTTCAGACAAATACAATGTATCCCGCCGGATAACAAGTGACAAATTTTTGCCCGCCCCGATCGGCTATACCGATACTGTCGTAAATAAACAAAATGGCGGCACAACTAGCATAATTAGAAACTACGATTTTCCAAGTTTGTGTTCAAATAAAGAATGTAAAAGACAAGAAAAATACACAACAGGCAACAGGATATGCTGCTGAAAACGTTTAAGTAGGTTCTTTTAATTTTAAACTCGCTTACACGATAGAGCTTTTGTCACGAAATACAATTGTTGTATGAATGTTGTTGATGTATAATCATAGTTCGCTATACAGGGTGTATAAAAAAAAAGGAGACTTTAGAAATCAAGCATATTGTTAAAATTTGAATGCCTTTTCAATTGCACATATGCTGAACCGTGGCGAGTGAAATATTGATGGAGTGCATATATTAGAAAAAGGAGACCTTTAGAAATTAACCATTGTTATAATTTGAATTCTGGAGCACTTTGCTAAGCCCACGAGTTCGTAACATGCGATCTACGTACAGTATGCATGGCAGATTGCTCGCAGGAGCAGACAATCTTTTGTTTAAACGTTATTTCAAATTCTAAAGGTCTCCTTTTTCTAATATATACGCACTACGGTTCAGCATATGTGCAATTGAAAAGGCATTCAAATTTTAACAATATACTTGATTTCTAAAAATCTCCTTTTTTATACACCCTGTATAACCATAGTTAATAGAATAGATGGTTCGGAAACTCATTAGAATAACAATTTAACTCATTATCTATGTTAGTCAACGTTTATTCATAAATCTGGTCGTTCACCGTCACGTGCGTATTGTATTTTTGCCCAACTAACCAATAGCAATGTCTTAAGTAAGTTATACCTATCCGTGACTCGAACAATGGGGTAAATTGGAAATTGCTATTGGTGGATTTGGCAAAAATACAACACACACGTGACGGTGAAAGACCAGATTTATGAATAAATGTTGACCAACATAGATGAGTTATATTGTAATTCTAATGAGTTTCCAAACCATCTATCCATTAACTATGATATAACAAAACGCTTAATTCTGTTCCCTCGGGAAATAGTTTTGTTTTCCATCGAATCTCAATGTTTGGGAAAACAAAACAAAATATTTCCATCGGGAGCTGACATTAAGTGTATATTATCATAGTTAATCGAATAGATCGTTTGGAAACTCATTAGAATTACAATATACCTGTAATCATTATCTATGTTGGTCAACGTTTATTCATAAATCTGGTCCTTCGATTACCGTCACGTGTGTTTTGTATTTTTGCAAAATCCACCAATAGCAATTTCCAACTTACCCTATTGTTCGAGTCACGGATAGGTAACTTACTTAAGACATTGCTATATTGGTAATTAGTTGGGCAAAAATACAATACGCTCGTGACGGTGAACGATCAGATTTATGAATAAACGTTGATTAACATAGATAATGAGTTAAATTGTTATTCTAATGAGTTTCCAAACCATCTATTCTATTAACTATTATATTATTAAATAATAACATAGATTTTGCGCCATTTTTGCATTAATGAAGAGCAATATTTTCTGTCTACCGATAAAATATAACTAAAATTGCAGCCTTATTGTAACTGCATCTATTTCATTAAAATTATTTTCATTTTTTTCCAGACGTTGATCAATAGGGCCATTTATACTGAACAAAATAAGACGCGACTTACATAAGACGCGACTTAAGTAAGACGCGAGTTTGTCGTATAAAAGGTACAAAATTCTTATGTAAGACGCGTCTTGGATAAGACGCGTCTTACATAAGAACAGGTCTTTTAGACAGCTGTTCTTATTTAAGTCGCGTCTTAAATAAGAAATTTTGGACAAAAATTCTAACTACACATGCCAGAAACGTGAAACAACGTAAAATTATTAGGCTTGCATATTAAAACAAAAACAACCAAAACAACGTTATAGCTATAGCAAATAAATAAGACCAATGCCGTAGAGAATCATTTATGCGATAACTCCGCTTATTTAAGTCGAGTCTTATGTAAGTCGCGACTTATTTTGTTCCGTATAAATGGCCCTAATGTGAGCTTGAAATTCATAACTGTCACGTTAATGCTGTCTGTGTTAACACAGTTAGTTCATATGAATGTAAAAGTATATGCACCATGTATAATTTGTAAGCTGAAAAATAGAACGACAAATTTCTTTCAAACGAGAAAGCTAGTAAATATCATTATTATTAAATAACAACATATCATGCAACAAATTTGTTTTTTAATTTATGTTCAAAAAGCTAAAATACATCAAAGCAGCGTCGGCTGTGGGCTGGGCTGTAATATCAGTATAAAATTAATTGGATTTCTTGGTATATCAGTGTTCAATTTCTTCCTCTATTATTAACAAGAAACTGTTTTGCCATGCAGAATAAGAGTATCTTTGAGTGCAGACACAGCAGATTACCGATATATTTTGATTTTCTTGTGAATAATATTGAGAGAATATAATGTTGAGAGTAATATTCGTTGAAATGAATTTTTAGATATTGACGAATGTTCTGCTGATGAATTTCATGATTGTGATGTCGTAGCTACATGCACCGATACAGATGGTTCATTTTACTGTACTTGTATTTCTGGCTACACAGGTGATGGAAGAAGTTGTGAAGGTTAGTTTTCATTGAAATAGCCGGAAATATATCCAACATGTCTAACGACAGATAAAATGGGGTATATTATATTTACATCGATTTTTTTATTTAGCTTTCAACATAGAATAAGAAATGAATAGAAGGGCAACTCACGTGTACAACGCGTAACCAAATTACGCGTAACCTGGTATTAAGTTAATATGTGCAGACAACATTGTCACCAATCCACACTGGGACACTGGGTTGCTATAGGAATCTTTAATATATTAAGCCTGATTATTATTGAAGACGTGCATGCATCTAGAATGTACTCTATAGTCTATAAACTCATCCCTTGGGCCTTGGCACATCGCCACACAAACAAATAAACTAAAAGTACATTTTGACTCCTTGTATAAATAAGACATTATTGACGAATAGATCAAGACAACCTCGAAGACATTAGACAATAGACAACCACTGATAAATGACCATAAATTTATGAAATTATATTGTTTCTCTGGACCTTCCGTCTGTAATGGCGCCACAATTGCGCGTCGCCAGTGTGGAAAGCACGTTGACGTTCTTTAATAAGTTGCTTTATGTGCCCAGTAATCCATGGTTTGTCCGTGGGATGAAATTTGATTGTGTTCACTGGAAAAAATGATCGAATGCAGTGTTCAGATCATTGGTAAAAGATGACGCTAACTCATCCGACGATGGATTGAGTCCGAGTCCACTAAACCATTTATTCCTGGTTGACCATAAACCAAAACCATTCAAACCTGACTGAGGATATCGACGCACAGTGCGCTTTGTACACGTATTATTATTATCCTTAAAAATGTCTTTTGGGATCCACATGATTACGTTATGGTCCGACGTTCCAAGTGGAGCAGAAATATCCGGTGTTTTGTAAAAGGATTTCAAGTTCGTAATAATATAGTCTAAGATTGAATCTTGTCTAGTCGGACGCGTGACGACTTGCTTAAGGTTGTGACTTGTAACTAAATCCTGTATATTGAGACGATTAAAATCGCCTAAAACGACTATGCCACAACCAGGGTATTTAGAGCGTATAGTATCAATAGAGGACACAAGGTAATCGCAAAGTTCCCTCTGTTCTTGCACACTTTTGTCCGGTGGATTATACACTACACATACTGCGATTGAAGATAGCGGTCTCGGTAGGCGTGGTGGTCGAGCCCACAACCACATACACTCTAGATTTAAATCTTCTAATTCCAAGTATCGCGTAATGGATATCTGCTGAGACACATAAACGCAAACCCCACCCCCACGGCCATGTGTCCGGTCCTTACGATGAATTACATAACCACCAATCGATATTTGATTGTCCCCTATCTCATCAGTCAACCAAGACTCCGTAATTGCGGCTATATGAACTTTGTTGACGGACATAAATGCTGCAAGTTCATCAACCTTTCCATTAATTGAACGTGCGTTCAAGCAGCAAATTCTCGGGAGTATAGCTTTATTTTGTTTTTTGTTCTTTTCATTATAATTATTTGTGCATCTAATACGGGTTAGATTGTTATAATTGACACCTCGCGTTTCTGTACGCCTTCTTTGCCTCACACAGCAACCAAAATTACGTGACGAAACTCTGACTTCTATTTGCTCCATTATACATAAGTTGAGAACTTCCCGTGATGGGTAATATTAGATCTAATTTCTCCTTTTGATTGCCAAATCTTGCAGTTGACAAACTGAGGCCAGAAATTTTGTTGTTGCACTAACGAACAATCGGCCGAACGAAAATGGATTTTAGCCGATGTCGTACCTTTTCTTTTGCTTGGAAAAACGGAAATATATGTAGGTGTTATATTCCGTTGTTTCAGATAGGAAACAATTTGACATTCTTTTACGTTTTCAGCTATCCCGCTTAACAGGAATTTCTTAACTCTGTTACGTCTCCGGTCAACACCAATAAACCCGTCAGCAAAGTCACTAGATGGATCATTGATTATTTGCAGAGAATTGTTTTGGGATTTGTTGGTGGGAGATTTTTCAAGTGTGTTGCAGGTATTAAATGCAGGGCTAGATGTCACTACCTCCGCAAAAGTGGCTTGATTGTTGTTTCTTACTTGTTTATTATCGTATTTAATAGAGGTTGCAACTTCTGCTGACACAATGGGATTATTCACGCTTGCCTTTTTGCTTATGCGACTTTGGCTAATATTGTGAGAAAAATCACACATTGATCCCTTTAAACAATGTCCTTTCTTTAATAGGAATGGACATGCGACCAAATGCTTAGAGGAATTCGCATTAACGTTTTTATTTATGCGAGGTTGACTAATGGAATGAGCCGTTTCGTTGCGCACTTCGGCAACCTTATTAAGGAGATTAACATACGCATTTTCACTCATGCAAAACTGACCAGCATTATTATTAGATAATTTTTGATCGTCATTCTTGGTTTGTGTACTAATGTCGACACAAACTGGATATTTTCTGACAAGTTCATCTTTTGATTGAGCAGAATCAAAAGTACATGTTTCTTCCAAATTTATGCTTGCATTAGAAGGTCTCAGTTGATCAATAATCGCTTCACTGGTTTTGATTCTGTCGTTAAGTAAGGCTATTGTTTCATTCAATTCATCGAATTCGGCATTTCTTTCTCTCACAAACAAAGTCAAGTCCGACTCAAGACGACTGTTTTTATCTTTTTCATGAGCAAGTTCTCGCTTAAGTTGGCTTACATTGGTACGTTCGGTCGCAAATTCAGTCTCAAATTTCTTTTGTAAAATAACTAAATCAAGCTTTATTCCTTCAAACTCAGCAACCAGAATTCCGCAGCCACAACCACAATTATTATTATTCAGCTTCATATGCTCAGTCTGGCAATGATTATTGACAAAAGCGGGAGCTGAACGATGGATAGTTCTGCCTTGTATACTTTCAACCGGGGAAGGGGAATCGATGGCGACATTCATATTTCTGTCCGATAGGTTAGGACAATCACACGCACTTGTAATATTTTGCTGCGAGAGTTTAATTTCATTGGAGTCTGACAAATGTGGCTTTAGCATGGACTGAGTTGCTTGTTCGCAAAGCAATATACATCGATCTCGCACCGAAACACCGTCTCTACCTTTAAAAAGCACTGATTTTGCTTTACCTTTATGCCATGTGACTACTAAGTCAGAGTTTGTGCTTGAAAACTTCTTCGACTGGCCCCCAGGTGATGACCATTTGCCTTCGAGGCCCCACACTTCTCGTACAATTCGTTTTAAATTTGTTAAATCACCGGTCCACTTTAAACGTACTCCATCATAAGACATGCCAGGCAGTTTAGTGCAACTAGCACTAGTAAGGAAGGAATTCAGACAACTATTTTCATTTGTATTAGCAACATTTTGATGGAGCTTATTAAGAGCACGTCCTTCCGCCATGACAAGCTTTCTACCCGAATATAACAACATAACTTTCTACCCGAATATAACAATATAACAACCACGAATATAACAACAAGAGCTCTTTTGAAATAGTATTGTTTCCTTGTTTGTGTATATTACATTTGGTGCCGTGACCAGGATGGCAACTTCGAGTCGTACGAGCGTAGCGCTTCCCGAGACCTTTTCAGATGGGGATATTGTTTTATGGCTGCGAAAATTCGAGCTTTGTTCGACCGCAAACGACTGGAAAGATACCGACATGTTAAAAAGGTTACCGACACTTTTGTCTGGTAAGGCCTTCGCAGTTTTTGAGCGTCTCGCAGCAGAGGCCAAAGAAGATTACAAAACCCTTACGAAAGCTTTAACGGCGGCGTTTGGCGGAGATACAACGGGCAAACATCTTGCAATGATGGCGTTTCGCAGTCGAACGAGAAAGCCAGACGAAGACATACAAGTGTTCGCCTACAATTTAGAGGCACTATTAAGGCGCGCAATGCCAAAAATCGAAAACGGAGACAGAGATGTCCTACTCCAGCAACAATTTATCGAAGGAGTACCCACAGAACTAAAAAGGGAACTATTACAACGACCAAGCATGTCCTATGAAGAAATGGTTGCGGTTGCCCAGCAACTAGATTTAGTGAGTCAAATTTCATCGCACCAAACCGGGAGTCAAGTCAACCTGGCAAGTGCGAGCGACAATTTGCAGACAACAACGAGGGATCAGCCCTTGGTTGCGCAGTTGATGGAAAATGTAGAAACACTTACCAGGAAGGTTAGTGAATTATCTGTATCTGTCGCCAATGTCAACGCCACGTCAGCGCGAAATTCTACTCGGGGAAGACGGGGGCCTTGCTATCAATGTGGCAAGATGGGCCACATCGCCAACGAGTGTAGAAGCACCGGTAACGGAAGTCGACAACCAAATTACCGACAACGCAGCGCCGAAAATTACTGCTTCGTGTGCGGGCAAATCGGACATTTTGCGCGAGAATGCCGATTTAGATACCAGTCCCCTGTCGCTGGTCAACCGCGTCAGGGAAACGACCAAGGACCGACCCATTACTAGGCCGGGGGTCCGTCCAAGAAAATACGGCCTTGCCCATAAACTGTATCCAGCCTACTGCGGTTTTCAAGACACGAGTGGGTGCCCATGAGCAAAAATGTTTGGTGGATACAGGTGCAACGGTATCGTTAATAAGTCGAGAACTTATAAGTGGGCCTTTAAAGCCATGTTCGTTGAAGGCAAGAGGGATCGGTGGAGAGGAACTACAAGTCCTAGGAATGAAAGAATTGGAACTCAGTATCGGCACATTGACTATATCCCACCAGTTTATGGTCGTAGGAATGAGGAACACCTGTATTTTAGGTGCTGACTTTTTGAAGTCAGGGCGAATGGTCGTGGATATAGCAAATTCGAAATTAACTTGGCCATCGGGAGAAGTGGCGTTGGTAATCGAGACAACTGCACCAACTGTCAATAAATTAAGCGTACTGTTAGATAATTATTCAGATATTTTTGTAAGCGGACCAAATGACCCTTTAGGCCGAACCACTGTAGCAGAACACTCGATTGACACAGGAGACAGCCGTCCTGTGAAGCAACGGCCTTATAGAATTCCTGTTCATCTCAACACTGTAGTGAACAAGCAAGTGAACGACATGATCGAAAGAGGTGTAATCCGATCTAGTAACAGTCCCTGGTCCTCACCAATCGTATTAGCTCCGAAGAAAGACGGGGATTATAGATTTTGCGTTGACTTTAGGCGAGTGAACTTGGTGACAAAGAAGGACGCTCATCCTATGCCTCGTATAGACGAAATTCTGGACCAGTTAGGCGGTGCGCGTTACTTTAGTACCTTGGACCTTGCTTCCGGGTACTGGCAAGTACCTCTAAGGGAAGAGGATATGGAGAAAACGGCTTTCTCCGTTGGTGCGAACCACTATGAATTTACAGTTATGCCCTTTGGTTTAACTAACGCTCCCGCCACATTTCAGCGCATGATGGGGAATATATTGATGGGTATTAAAAGCTGCCTAGTATTCATGGATGACATTATTATTTTCTCGGATACGTGGGAGGAACATCAACGTATTTTGGACGAAGTATTTCGTCGTATTCGGGCAGCAGGGTTGAAGATCAAGCGAGACAAGTGCCAATTTGCACAAGAATCGGTGAAATTCCTTGGCCACATTGTATCTGCACGGGGAACAGAACCAGATTCGTCCAAAGTTGAGGCCGTGCGAGAATTTGCGACCCCGACGTCTCTCACCGATGTTCGAGCGTTCGTTGGGATGGCCTCATACTATAGACGGTTTATTAAGAACTTTGCGGACATCGCTGCACCGCTCCACGACCTAACCAAGGGTGGCCAACCAGAATTTTGTTGGACACCTGTGGCCGACAAAGCATTTAATGACCTCAAAAGTCGTCTGTGTTCAGCACCTATCTTGTCCCTACCAGACTTCTTCGTTCCTTTCACCATTTATACGGATGCCAGTGATTTCGGCCTCGGCGCTGTCTTGTCCCAGCGAAGAGGTGAAAACGAGTACGTGATCGCGTATGCCAGCCGGACCCTTACGACTGCGGAGAAAAATTACTCAACCACGGAGAAAGAGTGTCTAGCCATTGTTTGGACAGTCAATTATT